CCCACCCCCACCACCTCTACCACCCAACTAGAGAACAGTCACTGCTAGCAAGTCTCTCGCCCTCTGGGCCCCTCCCCACCCTGTTCCCTGCCTCCCTCCACAGGGGGAACCACTAGTTAGAGTTTTATGTTTGTCATCCCCCACCCTGTTTTTAAAAAATAATTTTCTCATCTTTCTATTCATGTTTGAACAGCATACTGTTATGTTTTAGTTGGCTTCAAGCTCCTTAAGGCCTCAAGCTCTGCTTTCTTCGCCCAATCTTGTATGGCTGTGTGATAGTCCCTTCTGTGAATATAGCAGTTTGTTTATTCATCCTCCTGCTGAAGGGCGTTTGGGTTGTTTCTGGTTCTCAGCTGCTGTGAACTGTGGTGCTGTGAACATTCTTGAAGGTGACTTCTGCAGCCCATGTTCATCCATTTCTCTTGGGTGTACAGCGGGGAGTGGAGCTGCTGGGTGGGCTGTTGTATTGGTGCTTTAAATCGCAAAGGTGATCAACACCAGCTTGTTGTAAAAAGCACAATCTAAAAATGAGCCTCCCTCTTCCTTTCCCATGGTTCCTCCGCCGAGAGGAGGCCCCAGAGGGAGTGTCTCCTCCAGGCCTTTCTCCAAGCACGTAGTACTCGTACATGGAGGCTGGTGAAGGGGGGCTGCGGTCAAGCCCTGGGCATTTGGGAGGTTTTGTTTGGCAAGCAAGACTTTCATCTCAATTCCCAGGGGTAGGGAGGCCTGGTTTGACCTCTGACCCCACCTCCCAGGGTCTCTGATAGAATTGGACCCAGGGAGGGAGGCAGGGCCCAGAGCCTTGTGTGACCCTTCTCGAACCTCTGGCTACCCACCCAGGCCCAGTTCTTTGCATCTCTCCCTCCTGCAGGATGAGAACATGGTGAGCTTCATCAAGGGTGGCATCAAAGTTCGAAACAGCTACCAGACCTACAAGTGAGTGGGGCTGGCCTGGGGATCCTGGGGCACAGCATCTACTACCCTGTACCCCACAGGCTGCTTGTGGGAGATAGACAGCACTCGGGGGAGGCAAGAATGCCGTGTGACTTTGGGCAGATTTCTGTGCTCTCAGAACTTCAGTTTTCTGGAATATTATCCCCCTGGTTTTCTGGGTGTATCTGCCGGTTCCCCTGAGGGCTGATGCTGTGCCTGACCCTGAGTTAGAGGAACATAAGACACAGATTCTGCACAAACAGCTTGGCCTGGTGGTGGCAGGTGGAAGGACATGGTAACAATAATTTTAAGAGCAGCAGCAGAACTACACATCCGTTAAGGCCCAGACCAAATGCCACTTTCCCCATGAAGCCTTCCCTGACCTCTCCAGTAAATGGGGATGGTACACACACACACACACACACACACACACACACACACACACACACCTTCCTATGATGGGAGCTCCCAAAGGGCTAGATTATTTCTGTGCCATGCCAGCACTGGACCAGGCATAGGCCATGTTTATGGATGAAAGAATGAAGACTCACTGCAGAGCACTTTTACCCTCTGGTTTCACAAACATCTACAATTCCAAAATCAAAAAGCCCTGAGAACCCAGTTTTCTCCCTAAGTTTGGCATTAAAACTCATTTTCCATTAAAAGTTGACCTGAATTGATTTAAGACTATTTATCATCTTTATTTTCCTCATTTAATATGACTGTTTCCCTGCAGAGGTATTGTGAGTTTGATTTCAAGGTATTGCTGGGGTATAACATTCCGTGCAATTTGTGGGCACCACATACTTTGTGGGTCCGTGCTGGAAACCTGACAAGTGTTCTGGCCCCTTCAGCCTCCCCACCAGCTGCCAGAGTGGTGTTTCCAAAGCACAAACCTTGTCAACTCACCCTCCTGCCAACTCCCGAGGCTCCTCTGCTCTTAGAATGAAGTCCCAGGTCATTGCCAAGTCCTTCTGGGAGCTCCCCCTGCCCCCCTAGCCACATCGCCCACCCCACCCGGCTTCAGACATTTAGGCCTCCCCTCAGTTCTTCACACATGCCAAGCTCATTCCTGCCTCTGGGCCTTTGGACGTGTTGTTCTCTCTGCCAGGAGCACACTTTCTGTGCCAGGCTCATCCCTGTCATCTCCGCATTTTCAACTCAAATGTCAGCTACTCAGGGACGCCTTCCCTAACCCCAGGGGAGGCTTGATCAGGCCCCGGAGTTCTTTTCCTTTGAGGCCCTCCTCACCTTCAGTGACTTGATAGGGGTCTGTCCCCTAGAGTGGGAGAGCCGTGAGGGCAGCAGCAGGTGGCTTTGCTCCCTGCTGTCCTCCAGTGGCTGCACAGAGAGGCCTCAGTCAGTGTTTGCTGAATGAAAGTCCTCAAGATGCTCATGGCCTGGGAAGAAGGTAGGCACATCTTTAAAGCCTCTGTCCTGCCCCAGGCAGGCTGGGATATGAGCTCTGTCCAGTTGGTGAACAGGAGAAAGAGGGTTGGATTCTAACCAAGGAATTCCAGGAAGACTTCCTGAAAGAGGGGGTGTTGGAATTAGCCCAGTGGTTCTCAACTAGAGGTAATTTTGCCCCTTCCTCACCTCCCTCCCACCTCCCCCCACCCCCGGCCATGAGACATTTGGCAATCTCTGGACACATTTTAGTTGTCACAACTTGGGGAAGGTTGCTCCTGGCATCTAGTAAGTGGAGACCAGGGATGCTGCCAAACATCCTGTGATGCACAGGACAGACCCCCAACAAAGAATTATCCAGCCTAAAATGTCAGCAGTGCCGAAGTTGAGAAACTGTTCTAGATAAAATGCAGAGCATGTGCAAATGCCTAAATGTTGGACAACGCAGGTATGGCAGGGCTGATATGGCTGAAATTTAGGAGCAAGGAATGTATTATTACAGTGGGAGGTGGAGTTAGCAATTCTTTGAATATCAGCTTTCAGGATTTCCAGAATTATTATAAATCCACCATTAGGGAGTTCTGAGATCAGTTGACAGTGGGGGCAGCCTAGGCCCAGCGGGAATGGGACCCAGCCCCTAATTTGTGGCTGAAACAGGACTTTGCATCCCTCTGCAGGGAGCTGGACAGCCTCGTGCAGTCCTCACAATATTGCAAAGGAGAGAACCACAGGCACTTTGAAGGAGGGGTGAAGCTTGGTGTGGGAGCCTTCAATCTGGTGAGTGGGAGTGCCCCTCCCTGTGTCCACAGTGTCTGGGCTCAAGATTAATCACCCCTGCACATTCCTGCCACACATATGGTCTCTGTGGGGCTACTGTGCCGGGCCCTGTGCCAGCCTTGGGACCTAGTGATGACACAGACACGTTGCCAGCCTGGGGGGCTCACAGCTGGGGTGGGGATGGGTGCTGGTGCTGGCTCCAGAGTCCTTTCTGTGCATTTCTTCCTAAGTCAAGTTGAAAGCTTGAAATTCACCATGGCGGCAGCATTTATAGCACTGGAAGTTGATAAACACAGTGCATCAGGGCCCTTTCTGCCCTGGAGAGCTGGTAGTTAAATGCTAACCAGTGGCAGGGACGAGACAGGCCTGGAAACAGCTGATGACCCACAGGGAACGGAGAGCCCAGTTCCTTCCTGGGGGGCTTGGAAAGGTTTCAGGGAGGGGGCAGTATTTGAGCTAGATCTTGGAGGATGCATGGGTGGGGGAAGTTTTCCAGGCAGAGAAGGGCATTCTAAGCAGAGGGAACAGTGTGAACCAAGGCTGGGAGGCTCAGAAAAGCTATGACTACTCCTTGGAGGAGGAACTGCTCATGGACAATTTAGGCTCCTAGCCTACAGACCTTTCCAAAATGTGTGTGTGTGTGTGTGTGTGTGTGTGTGTGTGTGTGTGTGTGTGTGTGTGTGTGTTTGGGGGAGGGAGGCTTTCTCCCCTTCAGGCAAAGCCTATTCAAAGAGCAGGCCTTGGCGCAGGGTGCTTGCCCCACTCTGGATTCCAGTTTCCTCATATGGAAAATAGGAGCAGTAATCCTGGGCCAAGTGTTGAGAAATATAAGCTGCAAAGTGCATCGTATGCTTGAGTAGGTTACAGCCAGACCGTCCTTGGTTCAAGACCTGGCTTCACCTCTAAAGAGCTGTGAGGCCTTGGACGTGTCCTGTCACTTATCTGTGCCTCTGTTTCTCCATGTGTCAGAAGGAGCAATAATCCTGCTGTGCAGGACTGTTCTGAGGATCAAATGCAATGACAGAGCCCTTGGTACAAAGTAGGGACTCAGTGTAATAACAACAGCAGCTAACTATTATGTGCAGGCCCCCTTCTGTGTGCTTTACATATATTAATTTGATCCATCTGCACAGTGTTCCTATGAGGTAGGGGCCATTGTTATTACCATTTTACAGATGAGGACACTGAGGCATAGAGAGGATGTGTAACTTGCCCGAGGTGACCCAGCTGGGAGTGGTGAGACTAGGATTTGGACACAGTCTGCTCCTGTCACATTCTAGTGTTTCTCTATATGGGGAAGTTGGCTTTCCAGGAAACCTGGGGACGTTACAGGGACAGGGCCTCCACCCCCGGGTTTACCCCCAGGACTCTGGGGCTTGGGGAGTGGGGGAGGCAGCCCCCTCACATACATGTGCCCACCTGCCTCTGTTCTTGTAGACGCTGTCCATGCTTCCTAACAGGATCCTGCGGCTGCTAGAGTTCGTGGGATTTTCAGGAAACAAGGTAACCAACAACCTGCTTCACAGGGTCCCCCACGTATTCAGCCTCAGGCTGTAGCTGAGCTGATGAGGTGGGGCTGAGGGGCTGCAGTGCTTGGATGCCAGTCCTGGCTCAGCTCCCCTTGGTATGTGGCCCTGGACAAGGCCCAAACCCCTCTGGGCCTCCGTCTCCTCTCCAGTCAAATGGGACCAGTGATTTCTACCTGGCCCCTCACAGGATGGAGGCTCTGGGGTTAGGGTGCATGTGAAGGGCAGCTCCATGCGGTGGCCTGGGGGCATGTTCCCTGATCCTGACAGGTATCTGGAGCCTGGTCCTTCTCCCCTCAGAAGACCTGGAGCAAGTCCCTTCCCCTAGGACTTGATGGATATCTGGGAGATGCCCAAGGGAAACCCAACTGTGAATCAGGCCTTGGGGGTAGAAAGCAGGGGACTCACTTTACTGTGGGCAGGAACCTGAATACCAGTTAGCAGATCAGGGAGGGCTCCCCGGTGGAGGAGTCCCACTGTGCTGGAGGGAGCTTTGGCTTGGAAGGCATCCCCTTCTCCCTGCGACTCTGAGCAGGTCCCTGTGACTGTGAGCCTCTTTTTGGTAAAACAAGGGGCTTTTTTTTTTTTTTTTTAAAGACCAAGTCAGTGTTTCTCAAACTTGGAGTTTCTCTGGCCCATCCTAATTTTTGCCATGTCCATAGACTTCTATGTTATTATTTCTGGATTATTTTTCTGAAAAGTAAATATTACGAACCAACAATCTTACGAAAGCCCAGCTAGATCATCTCGTTTTGTGAGAAAGGGAGCTTAAAGTGAAGCGACGTTGAACACACTCCGGCACAGGACTGAGGCATCCTCCTGGTCACCGTCAAGAAGGACAGACAGAGAACTGAGCAGGAAAGACCCTCACTGGGCACTCTGTGTCCTCACACCTCTCTGCGGACCTCTAAAACCTTGGCTGCCTTCTGTGGTCCCTGGCCTGGGCCTGGGGAAATGCTGGCCAGAGGCTCCACACGTCCCTTTCAGTTTTGTTTTCTTAAGAACGCTCTTGAGACACAAATAGGATTTCAGGGTGATGATGGGCGGGAAGAGCATGAGAAAGGCTGAGAAGGGGGACACTGTGGCCAGTGAGGCCAGAGTGGAGAGACCTCCAGCACCAGCTCCAGCTCCATCTTTCTCCTGAAAGCAGGGGAGCTATGGAGGGTTTGAGGCAGGGGGGAGGCAGGTCATATTTGTGTATTACAAAGAACAAGAATGCCCCGGAAGATAGACTGAGAGGCAGACTGCAGGCAGGGATACACATGAGGTCTGGCCTCTCGCTCCAGAGCCAGGCTCTGGAGACTCCTCCTCCAGGAAGTCTTCCCAGACCACAGTCCTCATGGCGCCTCTTGTGCCTGAGCCTGTGGTTAGGATTATCTACCTCTATGTGTTTCCACTTTCCCCGACCAGACCTGGGGCTACTCGGGGTCTCTTCACCTATCATAGGCCAAACAGGTGAATAAATGGAGGAAAGGAGGAGAGGCTGTTGAGGAGGTGGAGGACACCTGGACTTAAACCTTTGCCCTAGCCTTGGCAGCAGTGCTCTCTCCCCCAGGAAGGTGGTTGAGGCACCGAGAGGGGCAGCCTCTTGCCCAGAGGTACACAGCCTGAGAGCAGCTGACCTGGCCTCCAGGACCCGGCGCTATCCTACCCCTGCTCCAGCAGCGCTGCCCTCATAGCTGTCCAGTGACCTCCAGGCCCCTGCCCCTTCCTGGGTCCCAGGGTGGGCCCTGGGGAGCCCAGGTCCTGCTGGCCTCAGCCTGTCCCCTTTGTCCCCCAGGACTACGGGCTGCTGCAGCTGGAGGAGGGTGCCTCGGGACACAGCTTCCGAGCTGTGCTCTGCGTTATGCTGCTGCTGTGCTACCACACCTTCCTCACTTTTGTGCTTGGTAGGAGAGCTCTTGGGGACAGTGTGGGGGGCCTCTGGGGTGCAGTTGGTTCTAAGGGCAGAGGGCAATAGGGTGACGGGCTGTAGACCCTGCTTAGGCCCCTAAGACTGGGGATGGGGCACTGAAACCAGAAACGACAGAGCCACATCAACTGTCCTGGGGCCTGGTCTACTGGTCTACACTCACTTCCTCACAGTTTGACTGGGTTCCAGCCTCAGTTTTCTCATCTGTGAAATGGGGATGGTTATGCCCATCTTGTAGAGGATGTGAGGATGCTACAGCTCCTTGGGGTTCTGGGCACAGCTTTGGTGGGCATGGGCTCTTGGTTATTGAGCCCCATGGTGTGCTAGGGGTGATACCTGCATTATCTTATTTAACCCTCACATCACCCTGGAGATAGAAGAATTATTATCCCCATTTCACAGAGGGGGAAACAGAGGCCCTGAGAAGCCCACAGTAGGTGGCTGGGAGGACCACAGGAGCCAGTGGGGTTGGTGACTTGTGTTGTTCCCCCACCTCTTCAGGCACCGGAAATGTCAACATTGAGGAGGCAGAAAAGCTCTTGAAGCCCTACCTGAAGCGTTACCCTAAGGTAAGCCCACCTCCTGCCAGACACCACCAGCCCACATGTGCCCCGTGGACCCACACAGACCCACATGTGTGTCTTTGCAGGGCGCCATCTTCCTGTTCTTTGCAGGGCGGATCGAAGCCATTAAAGGCAACGTTGATGCAGTGAGTAATGGGGGTCTAGGCTGGTGCCGAGGACCCCTCAGGGTCTCCCAGGCCAGCAGGAAGTCAGACACAAAGAGACATACTCAGGGATAGGGCTTACTGGGAGGAGGGCCCCCAAGAGAGAACCAACGGAAAGCAGGGGTGGGAGAGGCACTGCCGACTAGGGCAGTCTGGGAAGACAAGAGAGGAGGTGGCATTTGTGGAGTAGGATTTTGACAGGGAGATTGTAGGACTACAGCGTCTCCCCTGGAGAGGGAGGTGCTTGAGTGAGTCAGAGAGGTGGGAAGACCCACTTGTTCAGGGCATGGCGATGGGCTGGAACCTGGTGAGTGGAATGGTGGTGCCGGGGGGTGAGGCTGGCACCTTGATGGCCTGGCTAAGGAGTGTGGACTCTGTAGGTGGGAGGGAGCCACTGAAGGGGCTAGAGAGGGGAGGAGCAGAGTCCTGGCAGTGACCTCAGCACTAAGCCAAGGCCCAGGACGGACTCTGCAACGTGGAATTCTGGGGTCTCCCACTGGCCCTGTTTGTGATTCCTCAAGGTATCAGGACAGATGCCCCGGGTCCAGGTCACTTGGTAGGAGCTACTGAAACCTTTGGAATTTGTTCTGAGGCACAGACATTATTATATCGCTTTAATATTAACACTTTCCGCTGCCTCCATCATAGCTCTATCCTGTCCTTTCATATTGTGACTAAAAGACTGAAACTCCAGACAGGGGCAGTAACTGTGCCCAAGGTCGTGGACGACGTAGGGGGAAGAATCAGGACTGGAGGCCAGATCTCCTCTGTCTCCCCTAATCCTTCCCCGCTCCCTCACCCCTGCAGCCTGGCACAGGGCTGGCCCACTGTGAGCTGGAGGAGGCTGGGCCGACTGTGGGGTTGGGCGGGTGCGAGGGCAGAGTGGGGCGGGCGTGGGCCAGGGGTGGACCTGCTGAGGCTGACCAGCAGGTGCCCACAGGCCATCCGGCGGTTCGAAGAGTGCTGTGAGGCCCAGCAGCACTGGAAGCAGTTCCACCACATGTGCTACTGGGAGCTGATGTGGTGCTTCACCTACAAGGGCCAGTGGAAGATGGCCTACTTCTACGCCGACCTGCTCAGCAAGGAGAACTCCTGGTCCAAGGTGGGCTGACGCCATGTGCCGGGGGCCGCTGGGGGACCAGACCAACCCAGATGAGTGGTATCTCTAACCAAACATAGATGTCCCAGCTGGAATTTAGACAGAACCATAAATTCTAATGGGACTCAGGGCTAGAAGGAACTAAAGACCATGAGGAGCAGAGAAACTTTAGAACTACAGTACAATGTGTAGGTCAACATTTTTAGTCACAAAGGACAGACACATGACTCCTACTGTCTAAGTTAGTCTGTCCAATAGAACCTTCTGTTATGGTGGGAGTGTTCTATTTCTGCACCGTCCAGTATGGTAGCCACAGCCACATATGCACACTGAGCACTTGAAATGTTCCCAGTGCAACTGGGAAACTGGATGTTTTCAATTTCATTTAATTTGAATGAATTCAAATTTAAATGTAAAAAGTCACATGGGGCTAGTGACCACTGTATTGGACTGTGCAGGTTGAAAACACAAAAGGCTCATGGGCTCATATAATTGAAAATTCTAGGCACATCTGACTTCAGGTAGGGCGGGGTCCGGGAATTCAAATGAGGTCATCTGGGCTTGGCTTTTCCGTCTGTGGCTGTACTGTCTTCTATGACATCTTTGGTGTGCAGGCAATGTTCTCTCCATGTGACAGGCGGGGTGGCCATGGGCTGCCTGCCCCTAACTCACATCTTCCCTTTGGTGTCATCTGAAGTCCCACAATAGAGCTTCCCTGGTCTGGCACAGATCGCATGGTGATGCCTGGAAAACCGGGTGGGAAGACTCATGGATCAAGAGTAGAAGAGGGGTGGTTCCCTAGAAGAAAAGTGAGGTGTGATGTCCCTGAAAGAAGCATTGGGGGAGTGGGGGGTGGGGGTGGCAGGGAATTAAAGAGATGCCATGTAGGCAAAACAAAATAGAACAGGTGCCCACTATAGGTGAAAACTTGTAACATCAAGGTAAGTGGTGAAATAAGTATTAGCCATTATCATCTAGTAATAGTAATGATAGCACAGAATTCTGAACCAAGAGTCTTAGAACCATCTAGATCATCAGAGAGCATCTAATCTGGTATTGGCAGTACATAGCACATGTGTCTCAATAACACTAAGTCCCTTTCTCATCCTTCCCTACCTCTGCATGGAAGTCCCTTTTCAGTGTTCCTGCCTGGGGACCACCCTGAAAGGGAATTCTCTGGATCCGGGGCAGGTGGGGCTGGGGGGAGGAGCAGGCTTTCCCTGAGCTCTTACTTTGTGCCCAGCGGTTGCCATTTCCTCCACACCACACAGCTGTCAGTGACAAGCACTGGATTTGAAGATAGCGCTGTGTGACTCCAAGGCCTCTGCTTATCTCTTGCCCTCAAGTCCTCCTGAGGAGGCCCAGCTTGCCTTCAGATTACCCGTCTGCTGAAGGTGCATCTTCAGGCCCAGCCTCTGTGGGCCAGACACTCAGTCCTCGTCACCTCCCACTCTCAATAAGAGCACAGACTCCGGGAACCTTTTCGAACTCAAGTGACCTAGAAGTCTTCCTGTGATGGAGGGATGTAGGCACCTGGGTACATGTACACGGGGAATAAGAGACCTGGGGCGGTCACACAGCTGCTGTGAGGAGCAGAGGGAGGGCCAGGTCTCCCAGGTGTCAGGAAGTCTGGCGGCGAGTCACTTCCGTCTCCAGCTCACTGTGAGATTTTGGGGGTGATCAGCCCCTCTGTCTCTGCAGTGCTTTCCTCAGAAGTGTTTCCTGTGAAAGTGGGCTCGTAACACCTCAAACGCCAGGGCCTCATTCATTGCT